TCCTAACCCTAACCCTAGCTCCTAACCCTAACCCTTTACGTAATTCTAACCCTAACACTAATTCTAACCTTAACCCTAAACCCCCTAGAAATAGCATTTGACCTCGTGGGGACTAACAAAATGTCCCCAGTTGGTCCCCCCCAATTTTTTAAACTATTTTTTTACTAACAGTTAAACACGTCCACACACACACCTCCTCCCTCCTGACCTGTAGTGTAGGCTGGTGCTGTGCATTGATAGCGTAGACCATAGCAGAAGCTCCAGAGTAGTCCTCCATACTGGGGTCAGCTCCAGCTGAGAGGAGAGTAGAGGCTATCTGAGCTCCAGCCCGCTCCATACAGGAATACATCAGAGCTGTACGGCCTGACCGGTCCTGGGCATTAGGGTCTGCCTGGGTGGGAAAAGATAGGATGGGGTTAGGATGTAGTCATTCACTCACACACACACACACGCAGGATGGGGTTAGGATGTAGTCACATGCACACAACACACACACACAGGGTGGGCTTAAGGGTCCGCCTGTTTAGAATAGAATAGAATCCCACAAGGGAAAATTAAACCTACAGAGCTCGCCTTTAAAAGCAGACACAGACCTGGTTGTCTAGTAGGTATCTGAGCAGTTTCAGGGTTCCAGGTCCAGTGGGTTCCCCTCTCAGGGCTTTACACACAGCCAGGAGAGGAGTCTCTCCTCCTGGGTTTCTCTCGTTGACCTGAGCACCCCCCTCCAGGAGCAGCCTGACGAGGCGAAGCTTCCCCAGCTTCGCTGCTCCAATCAGGGGACTGCTGTCTGGCAGGAGGCCCTGGGGGACCGACATGGTCTGGAGGAGAGGAAAAGGTAGAGAGATAGAGATAGTAAGAAACAGAGAGAGAGAGAGAGGCAGTCAAACAGACAGGTGAAAGTTTAATAGTGATTTAGCATCCAAACGTACCTGGGTTGTTGGAGGTCCTGGATTGATTGTTAGGGTTTCACTCCAGACCAAGTGGAGTTCCACACATCACATATTGGCAACAGACAACTTCGGCAGACTGGACACTGATACACATCCTCTTCTCTGTCCCTCTTCCTCTCCATCTCACTCCGTTCTACCTCTCTCCTGTACCAGGAGCGTGGGTCCTGTCTCAGGTGAAGGGCAGGCGTGGGTAGCGGTGAGCGTTCAAAGTTGTCAATGGTTTTCAGCTCTAAATGTCACCTGATGCTGAGTCTCCACACTACAAAGGCACTGGGAAGGACTGATAGAAGTCAGCTTTGAACGGCCATCATCTGGCAGACCACCGCCTGAGTTCAAACAGCCCAGAGGAGGGGTGGGTGTGTAGAAACGGCACTCTAAATCAAATTGTATTGGTCACATACACATATTTAGTAGATGTTATTGCGGGTGTAGCGAAATGCTTGTCACGAATAAAGAAAATACTGCAAAGTTGCTTAGGAGCTAGAAGCAGAGCTGCCATCTTTGTCAGAACACAGACTTGTGATAAAATACTTGTGGATATAGAAATGTTTTGAAGCTCTCTGGTAATGATTTTGATAACCCAGCAGTATTTTACTGGCTGTTCTGCCTTTGGGTAGGCCTGTAAACACACACACTTCCTTTTCTCCCTCCCACACTGCTGCCGACGATGGCAAACTCTAATTGAGGTGATGGAACTAGAATCCTCTAATAAAACGTGTTGAAAGAACCAAATGTCTTGGCAGAAGTAGTGAAGTCATTTTATTAGTTTTTTGATGTATCTACAACAAAGAGAGGGACACAGGCAAAAACTGACGACTCGATGAAAACCCCAAAACAAATGACATTTATTATTGATGCAAGATTTCCCACCTTTTTTCAATAAGCAACTTTTTATCAGTCTCTAAAGAAACTTTATTACAACATAAAGAAAACGTACGAATAGGAAACGTTTTATTACTACACAAGACATTTAGGAGCTGAAACTAGCCTATCAGGAAATACAAAGCAAACCCAGGAAGCAGTTCTTCACAATGTTTAATCCAGATTGGCATGATACCGTGTTGCCCTGAACCTGAAAATGGCAATTTTCCAACCAAATGTCATGGGATCATTTATATACAGCATATGATGTGGTGTCACTCCAAGAGATAGGTCAAATTTCTCTTTCAGTTGGATCTAAAATCAAGAAGGCACCCAATCTAAAGGGGTTAACAGAATTGAACACAACACAGGATCATTGTAATGGACTAAATGTACTGGAAAAACTGGCCCCGGGACACAGACTGCCTCATATTCAATACTGCTTTGTCATCAGAGAAAAACATGGGCTGCATCTCAATAGTCTAAAGTGGCTTCCTCTCCTCACGTCATCCCCTTCATCTGCACTGATCCGGCTTCTTTCACGTCAGTGCAGATGAAGGAGGAGACGAGGACGCTACTTTAGACTATTGAAATGGATAGACCCAAGGAACAGAAATCTTTCCTTTCCCTCTGTCCCCTCCTTTCAACCCTCCCAGAATGATCCATTATTATACATCACCATAGAAACACAGAAATGACCAAAAATGTGACAACGTTGATTTTACATACAGGACAGGCGTTTGCACCGGTGCAGAGTTTGACACCTCTTATGATCAGAGGGGAAGAACTAGGGCCAGGAGGTTTCCCTGGACAGGTCACATGGTCAGGGAACACAACTTGAAAACGGTAGAGCCATAGAGAATGATAGAGGCCCCTAATGGCCAAAATGCCATTTTAGCATGGGCAGCCCCGTTGAAGGCTTCCACCATACTTCCGCCATTTTAAAGTAGTCAACTGGATTGGGATTCCTATGGGTTGTAGCCTGAATGGCGCTGCCCATGCTGTCACAGACACTATAATGGCACAGATATAAAGATGAGTCCTCTATCTATCTCTATGGGCAGAGCGGAAAGGTCACATGAAGGTCATGAGCAGGGCCATGAGTTTTTCCTGAGCACATGAAATGACAAGGGCCACAGGAGGTTGGTGGCACCTTAATTGGGGACGGCGGGCTCGTGCTAATAGCTGGAGCAGAATCTGTGAAATGTTATCAGATACATCAAACATGGCTCCACGCTCCATTCCAGACATTATTATGAGCCATCCTCCCCTCAGCAGTCTCCACTGACAAGGGCACATAAACTCCTAGCCCTAGTTATGGTAAGTAAATATATCTCAAATTGTGAAACAGAAACAGTTTCACGGTTTGTTTTCCAATTTGGATCATTTTCTGACAATAACAGAAACACTTTGCACTGGTGCAAACTAGGGTTCGTTCTAAATGGCACCCTATTCCCTATGTAGTGCACTACTTTTGGCTTCAGTAGTGCACTACATAGGGTAATTGGGTGCATTTCAGATTTGCCCTTAGTGAATATGGTAGAGAGGATGGGTCAGAGTTGAATCTATACAACAGTATCTCAAAATACACCAGAGGCCATTCCCCCCCTTTAACACCATCTCTTCATATCATTAAGAACCTGCGTTATTACATATTTTCTCAATTCAAATACATAAAAATCCTTAATAGAAAACATTTTATTTTCATCTATCGTTACTAGGGACAGGAGATTTCCCTAACAGCTTGACCTGACCAGGAAATACTCTGGACCCTAACGTTAGTTGTAGTTTATAACTAAGTAATGATCCAATAAAGAGGGTTCCTCCTGGCCCTAGTTGTGTCTGAGTTAAACAGTGAGGCCCTGTAAAAACACACATCGTCTCTTTAAAACCCAGTTGGTCTGAATCAACTCATTTCTCATCATTCATTGGTTGTGACGGAAATATCAAAACATGTCATGATATCAAAATTCACTTTACAGTATTTACAAACACAAACCAAAGACAGATGGAGACGTCACAAAATGAGAGAGAGGTGGTTGGGGAGGTGGATGGTGTAGGTGGGCCGATTGGTTGTGTGTGTGTGTGTGTGTGTGTGTGTGTGTGTGTGTGTGTAAGGACAAACATTGTCCTCTGGGGGATCTTGACAGTCAGTCACTATGGCAATTGCCACGCCGCCTCCTGATTGGCTCAGCTCTGTTATAAGAGTCCTTTAAGCATCCAATCAGAATCATCATTTCACAGAGGGTCAGAAGAACTGCCCTCTGGGTAAAAACCACAATTAAAACAAAAACCAGACACTTCCAAGATGTCTTCCTCTAGAAGATGGTTGCTGATTGGTGCAGAGTGATTCCGGAGTGTGCAGATGGAACAGGTTGACAACAAGTCTGTCTCAATGGAAAATTAAACAAATAAATACAACTGTGCATCCTCTGCATGTTCAGGGTCACTTAGTCTACTACAGAGAAAACGCCTTCTCAGGGGAATGGAGAGGGACATTACTATGGGAATTACAATTTAAAGTACCATGATGGACCAAGGTGATGTTCTCTGACTGGGCAAAGAGGGGGCAGTAGATAGTGTATATCCTGTGGGTTTTCCTTAAGGAGACTAGTGAAGGTTCACCATCCTCTGAAGTTACTAAGGAAGAGGTCATCTGTGTGTGTGTGTGTGTGTGTGTGTATATATGCCCTTTCAACAACAAAAAACCCCAGAAATTAAATCCTACATTTTAAAATAACCATAAATCATAACAATATTATTAATCATAATAACAATGAAAGAATATAAAAGAATAGCAATAATACATTACATACAGAGTAATGGAAAACATTCATCGATCAACATCACAACACCTCTGTTTTTTAAATGTATACAGAGTGAACTAGGGGGGAGGGGGATGGACGACACTTCCATGTCTACGTCTCAAATGACACCCTATTCCCTCTAAAGTAGTGCACTACATAGGGAAAAGGGGATCATTCGAGATTCGTTCCCTGTTCCACCCCTGTATCCATTAGAAACACAATCAAATCCATTAGAAACAATCAAAACAAATAAAAGTGAATTCAAATCCAATGTAATGTTTGTAGAGCTTCCAGACAGCTATTGACAGAACCCTACCATGCTGTGTCCTGAAGGGCGTCCATGTTATCCAGTCTCTCCTCCTTTCTCTCTCTCATCCCGCTCTCATTGTCCAGACCCTGACAAGAAGTCAGAGAGGCAGGGGGCGGGGTCAGAGAGTAGGGACTTCCTGTGTCTCTGTTTCCTGTCTATGCCACACACAGCGTCGGGAAGCTCCAACTTCACTAGAGGCCCAGCATGCCCCAGGACTGTCCTAGAAGCCTGGTTAGCGGTGAGAGTTCCGAGGGGGTGGAGGTAGGGTTGAGGTGGGAAAGGCAGAATGAGTCCGATCCAAGGTGAGGGGTGTGGGGATTGGAAAGATCCAGGTGGAAAGGTACAAAAAGAAAATAACCAAAAGAAAATACAAAAATAAAGAAATTAAATTACACACTCATCGTCATGTTGGGTGAATACTGTGAAGAGAGAAAGGGAAGGGGGGGGGAGTGGTAGAGATGAGTGAATATGTAAACGCTACAACATTACATACCAGGTCTCCCACCCTGGTTCTTGAGGGGTCAAGGTTCAAGGCTCAGGGGTCATCGGCCAGCAGTACTCACACTTTCACTTTGGAATGGGTTGAGGAAGTTCCCACCCATCTCTCCATCGTCCCGCGGCGTCCCGGGAGGGTTGCTCATACCCCCCATGTTGTTAGGAGAGTTCTAGAGAGAGGGATAGAGAGAGAGAGAGAGAGAGAGAGAGAGAGAGAGAGAGAGAGAGAGAGAGAGAGAGTAAGATAACCCTACAAATACGTAAAACAAACATGCATGAGTACCACAAGTTATTTGTCCAGCAGCACCAAGACATGTCCCTTTGACCGTAAACCCTCCGCCTGTTTGAGAGATTGAAGTAAAAAGTTGTAGAAAAGGGCAATTATATTCACCTTTGGCAACCCGTCCATGTCCCCAGAGCCTGAGAGACAATGAGAGAGAGATGAGATTCAAACAGTTAATCCATGCACTGAACATTATGTCACCCTTAAGACTGCATTATTACAGGTGTTCATAACCCTGTCATAGCACCCACCTAGTGATCCGTTCATGTGGTGTGGTTCCATGGCTCCCATGGCTCCCATCGGTCCATCGGGCCCTGGGCCCATAGGGAACTGGGAGAGAAAACACACACACACACACACAGTCAGAATGACACACACACACACACACACAGAAAGATGTCTCAGTGATACTGGATCTTCAGACTGTTTTTATGGCCTTATCTAATCAGCAGGGGGATAAAGTCATACTGTGTTATAACGTATTGTGGTGTCACGTTGTGTGATGTCATGTGGTGTAACAGGACATGTAATGTGACTCACGTTGGGTCTGTTTCCTCCTGGTCCTATAGGGTTCATCATAGTGTAGATGTTTTCACTGGAGTTGTTTGAGTCTGCGGGAGACGAAGACAGTAGTACAACATTAGTCCACAGAGAAAGGCAACACACATACAGTGCCTAAATATAGTACTGGTGCTGGGGGGCATATTTAAGAGACGCACCACCTGGGCTGGGCATGATGGGAGTTCCAGGCGGCCCCCCTCCTCCTGGAGGACCCTGGGAAACAGATAGTTCAATAAGGTCAATAAGAACAGTGCACACAATTTCCCATTTCTACATCTAAGGAACAGTTTTAGGAGTGAGGTGTTATTGAACACACTGACGGTTGGCTACTCACCACATAGTGGCCTGGAGATGAGGAGGAGTATTGTATCTGTGATGAGAGAAGGGAAACTACAGGTTAGGGGTCATCGTTCTTTCCTCCAGCAACAAGAGGTCAGTACAGTACCTTTTCAAGCCACCTGTTTAATAATAACAATCATCGTAATGCATCATCTAATCTAACAAATAGAGGAGGAAACAAAGTGACTTACTGAGTTAGCATTGGGACCAGGCCACGGCCCTCTACCACCAGGACCCCTGAGAGAGAGAGAGAGACAGAGAGAGAGAGACAGAGAGATAGACAGAGAGACAGAGAGAGAGAGAGAGACAGAGAGAGAGAGACACAGAGAGAGGACACAGAGAGAGACACAGAGAGAGACACTATAAGTACAGGGAAATACTGCCATAAACCAAGAAAACAACAGTTCAACATTCATGATGTCGGGGCCTTAGATATTCAATCATGAAGCTGGTGCTATGGGATAGACCGTATTACTCCCTATGGAGGGAACACTTACATGTTCATCCCAGGCATAGGACCACCCATGGAGTTAGGAGGAGGTCTCATACCCCCGTAGTTCTACATAGAGAGAAGAGATACAGTGTCATAACCATAGAATGCATGTATGCATGTATGTACAGTGGGGAAAACAAGTATTTAGTCAGCCACCAATTGTGCAAGTTCTCCCACTTAAAAAGATGAGAGAGGCCTGTAATTTTCATCATAGGTACACGTCAACTATGACAGACAAATTGAGATTTTTTTTCTCCAGACAATCACATTGTAGGATTTTTTATGAATTTATTTGCAAATTATGGTGGAAAATAAGTATTTGGTCACCTACAAACAAGCAAGATTTCTGGCTCTCACAGACCTGTAACTTCTTCTTTAAGAGGCTCCTCTGTCCTCCACTCGTTACCTGTATTAATGGCACCTGTTTGAACTTGTTATCAGTATAAAAGACACCTGTCCACAACCTCAAACAGTCACACTCCAAACTCCTCTATGGCCAAGACCAAAGAGCTGTCAAAGGACACCAGAAACAAAATTGTAGACCTGCACCAGGCTGGGAAGACTGAATCTGCAATAGGTAAGCAGCTTGGTTTGAAGAAATCAACTGTGGGAGCAATTATTAGGAAATGGAAGACATACAAGACCACTGATAATCTCCCTCGATCTGGGGCTCTGCAAATCGATCTGCAAATCCTGCAGTGCAAGACGTGTCCCCCTGCTTAAGCCAGTACATGTCCAGGCCCGTCTGAAGTTTGCTAGAGTGCATTTGGATGATCCAGAAGAGGATTGGGAGAATGTCATATGGTCAGATGAAACCAAAATATAACTTTTTGGTAAAAACTCAACTCGTCGTGTTTGGAGGACAAAGAATGCTGAGTTGCATCCAAAGAACACCATACCTACTGTGAAGCATGGGGGTGGAAACATCATGCTTTGGGGCTGTTTTTCTGCAAAGGGACCAGGACGACTGATCCGTGTAAAGGAAAGAATGAATGGGGCCATGTATCGTGAGATTTTGAGTGAAAATCTCCTTCCATCAGCAAGGGCATTGAAGATGAAACGTGGCTGGGTCTTTCAGCATGACAATGATCCCAAACACACCGCCCGGGCAACGAAGGAGTGTCTTCGTAAGAAGCATTTCAAGGTCCTGGAGTGGCCTAGCCAGTCTCCAGATCTCAACCCCATAGAAAATCTTTGGAGTTAGTTGAAAGTCCGTGTTGCCCAGCGACAGCCCCAAAACATCACTGCTCTAGAGGAGATCTGCATGGAGGAATGGGCCAAAATACCAGCAACAGTGTGTGAAAACCTTGTGAAGACTTACAGAAAACGTTTGACCTGTGTCATTGCCAACAAAGGGTATATAACAAAGTATTGAGAAACTTTTGTTATTGACCAAATACTTATTTTCCATAATAATTTGCAAATAAATTCATTAAAAATCCTACAATGTTATTTTCTGGATTTTTTTTCTCATTTTGTCTGTCATAGTTGACGTGTACCTATGATGAAAATTACAGGCCTCTCTCATCTTTTTAAGTGGGAGAACTTGCACAATTGGTGGCTGACTAAATACTTTTTTCCCCCACTGTATGTATGTATGTATGTATGTATGTATGTATGTATGTATGTGTGTGCTTACCTGTGGACCCATGGGCCCCATTCCTCGCGGAGCGTTCATTCTCATTGGCCCGCCCATATTAGGATGTCCTATAGTAGAAAAGATAACAAGAACACAGTCTTAACACCAACACACACTGGTAGTTAACATGAAGATACTATGGGACGGTCTAATATGGATCATTCCATCACTTAGCAAATGCTTTTATCCGATGAGGCGGTCATCTCCACACCTAATCCACATATGGCCAGTCTATGGCAGGCAACAGACTAAACTCTCCTCTAATCTCATTAAACTGGGACCCCTGTTGGGTTAAACAGTCATCTCTAATCTGAACCTGTAATCTCAAGACAAAACACACACGATCATATCTTCTACCCAGATGACCCCTACATCTGTAGGGTCCTGGGGGATGCTGGCGTCATCAATGGTTATCCAATGAGAAGTGCGGAATGCCACTTGAAACACTACATTTACATAAACAAATTAAATCAAATTCTATTTGTCACATGCGCCGAATACAACAGGTGTAGACCTTACCGTGAAATGCTTACTTACGAGCCCTTAACCAACAATGCAGTTCAAGAAATAGAGTTATTTACTAAATAAACTAAAGTAAAAAATATAATAAAAAGTAACCCAATAAAATAACAATAACGAGGCTATATACAGGTGGTACACCGGTACCGAGTCAATGTACGGGGGTAGAGGTTAGTAGAGGTAATTTGTACATGTAGGTAGGGGTAAAGTGACTATGCATAGATAATGAACAGTGAGTCAATGTAAATAGTCCGGGTGGCCATTTGATTAATTGTTCAGCAGTTTTATGGCTTGGGGGTAGAAGCTGTTAAGGAGCCTTTTGGACCTAGACTTGGCGCTCCCGTACCACTTGCCGTGCGGTAGCAGAGAGAACAGTCTATGACTTGGGTGACTGGAGTATTTGAAAACATTTTGGGCCTTCCTCTGACACCACCTAGTACAGGGCTGCCCAACCCTCTTCCTGGAGATCTACCGTCCTGTGGGTTTTCAGTCCAACCCTAATTTAAACACAACTGATTCTACTTATTAGCTGCTCAACAAGACCCTAACTAGCTGAATCAGATACGCTAAATTAGGGTTAGACTGAAAACCTACAGGAGGGTAGATCTCCAGGAAGAGGGTTGGGCAGCCCTGGCCTAGTATATAGGTCCTGGATGGCAGCAAGCTTGGCCCCAGTGATGTATTAGGCCGTACGCACTACCCTCTGTAGCGCCTTACAGTCGAATGCCGAGCAGTTGCCATACCAGGCGGTGATGCAACCGGTCAGGATGCTCTCGATGGTGCAGCTATATACATTTTTGAGGATCTGGGGACCCATGCCAAATCTTTTCTCCTGAGGGGGAAAAGGCGTTGTCGTGCCCTCTTCACGACTGTCTTGGTTTGTTTGGACCATGATAATTTGTTGGTGATGTGGACACCAAGGAATTTGAAACTCTCGACCTGCTCCACTACAGCCCCGTCGATGTTAATGGGGGCCTGTTCGGCCCTCCTTTTCCTGTAGTCCACGATCAGCTCCTTTGTCTTGCTCACATTGAGGGAGAGGTTGTTGTCCTGGCACCACACTGCCAGGTCTCGGACCTCCTCCCTATAGGCTGTCTCATCGTTGTCGGTGATCAGGCCTACCACTGTTGTGTCGTCAGCAACCTTAATGATGGTGTTGGAGTCCTGCTTGGCCACGCAGTCGTGGGTGAACAGGGAGTACAGCAGGGGACTAAGCACGCACCCCTGAGGGGCCCCGATGTTGAGGATCAGTGTGGCAGATGTGTTGTTGCCTACCCTTAACACCTGGGGGCGGCCCGTCAGGAAGTCCAGGATCCAGTTGCAGAGGGAGGTGTTTAGTCCCAGGGTCCTTAGCTTAGTGATGAGCTTTGTGGGCACTATGGCTTTGAACGCTGAGCTGTAGTCAATTATTTTATTATTTTTATGTTAGTCATTTAGCAGACGCTCTTATCCAGAGCGACTTACAGGAGCAATTAGGGTTAAGTGCCTTGCTCAAGGGCACAGACAGATTTTTCACCTAGTCGGCTCGGGGATTAGAACCAGCGACCTTTCGGTTACTGGCACTAAGCTACCTACCGCCCTATTTAACAGAATTCTCACATAGGTGTTCCTTTTGTCCAGGTGGGAGCATAAAAAATGTGTGTACACACACAAACGCGCATGCACACACACACACACACCTACCTTGTGGTCTGGTGGGGTCCATGCTGTTTGGCAGGAGAGGCTGAGAACCAGGGATTACCCCTGGAGGCTGAGGGAAACAGACAGATGAGAGAAAGTGTGATAGTGAGTATGGACCACCAGCACATATTACCTGAAAGTATGTGTTCAGCTGTATAGGTGAGTGTGTGCTCCATACCTGATTTGGCATTCGGAGTGAGGGGCGGGGTCCACCTGGAAACCGTGGCGACATGAAAGGCTGAGAGAGACAGAGAGAGAGTTTTTGTCATTCCCACTGAAAAGGAGTTGAGCAGACAGATGATGGACAGTGTGTGAATGGAGGATGAGGATGAAGGGGGTGAGAACACAACACAGCAATGAGCAGACACCAAAACAACGAGCAGACACCAAAACAACGAGCAGACACCAAAACAATGAGAAGGCTCATTCATGAGATGTATTTTACAGAGGAAGCTTGTCTTCAAGGATTTAGCCTTTGCTCTCCTCCCTTAGCCTTAGTGTTACATGTGGATCATTGTGTGTGTCTTGTCTGTCCTGCGCACATATGCATCTGTGCACTCAGTGTGTAGGTCAACAGCAGCTCATCTTTTGTTTTATTGATGAGGTGTTGGTGGAGTGTGTTTGTGTGTGTGTGGAGACTAGAGCTCCAACCCCCGAGAGCAGCTCCAGAGGAGAGTCAATTATTTATGTGTGTGTGTGTATATATATATATATATATATATATATATATATATATATGTGTATGTGTGTGTGTGTGTGTGTGTGTGTGTGTGTGTTACCTGTCCGTGTGGTCCCATGCCGTGGGGGGGCTGTGCGTGAGGAGACTGCTGGGAGCCTGGCGGACCCTGAGAGAAGAGAAGAGTGACATCAGAGAGAGGGAGGAGCTAACACAATTAAACCTGCAGGAGCAAGCCAATCAGGGATGTGGAAGAGAAGCTAGCCAGTAGCCAATCAGAACACAGAGAGGGAGAGGAGCCAGCCAACCAGAACACAAAAAGGAAGAGGAGCTAGCCAATCAATCATTCTGACTATCCAGTCTGGGGGTTGATATGGAACAGGCAGTTTTCCTAATCCATCATAAGAAGGTGTCTTCACCACTAGAGCGCAATGTTGACACAGCTAAAACGCACAGCTCAGAACAACACTGGATCCGAGGAGCCTACAGCATGGTTGGTCACTGTCCATCCCACACTGGTCAACATCAGGACATGAAGCTAGACTCGAGGAACTGTTTGAACTGTAGAGAATATGCATGTATGACTTCAGGTTTATTTTGTGTGTGTGTCTTTCTATAAAAATTTAAAATAAACTCATTAGCGAACAAACACCACACACACACGATAACAGCAACACAGGCATATTTGCAGCAAACAGCTCTTGCTAATGATAAGGCCACTTGTACAAAAAGGACAACACAAGCACACACCCCCTCCTCCTCCTCCCCCACTTGTGTTATAAATAGCACTTCCGTGCGTCTCCCTCTCCCTCTCTTTTCTCGCTCCCTCACTATTCTCTTGCCATCTCCCACTCTCACCTACTTCCTCTCTCCCATTCTAGCTCTCCCTCTCTCTCTTGCTCTCGCATTTGCACTCTCTCTCTCCAGTTCTCTCTTTCGCTCTCTCTCGAGACAAACAATGAAGTGGTAGCCACAGAAACAAACACATTGAGGCCCGTCTCTCTCTACCTCTCTCTCTCCCTCCCTCCCTCCACCTCTCTCCGTTCCACCTTATCATCCCTGCTGCCAAATGCCAGGGCTGTCCATCACACTGTCTGGCCGTGTGTGTGTATAGAGAAGGGGAGAGGAGTGAGGGATTATTGGAGGTCTAGAATAGAGAGGGAGGTGAAAAAAAGGAGTGTGAGAAGGAGATATAGGAAGAGAGGGAGTAAAGTAATGGATGGTGAAGATACTTGGAGGAGTGGTGGGAGGGACGTCAAAAAGAGGCTGTTTTACCGTGCGTAAAGAGATGGATGAATAGAGGTGTATTACCTGGAAGAATCCAGGCGGCATGGGTCCTCCTGGCATGCCATCGTTAGGAGGCATGTTCCCCATCACAGGACTGGGGGCTGCTGCCGCACTCTGCAACACACACACACACGTTAAAAGATGAAGCACACAATCACACACACTAATAGATGCACACACACAGAAATGTACACACACACAGAAATGTACACACACACCATCCACCCTAAACCCTGTCCTTCCCACTTTCTGTTAAACTGATACACACCACACCATCCCCCTTGTCTTTATGCTAATTCTGCCCATGAACAGGCCACTGAGTCCCTGGGGACAACATAGGGTCTTCCTCCATACTCCTCTTTCTCCGGCTGATTCCCCTTAACCCTCTCTCTATTCCCAAACATCTGTACTCCTCCTCTTTCTCAACCTCTCTCCCATCCTTCTCCCCTCCCTCCCACGGCCCTAACCTCTCCTCTCTCGCATCCTTCTCTCCCCTCCCTCCCACGGCCCTAACCTCTCCTCTCTCCCATCCCTCCCTAACCTCTCCTCTCTCCCCTCCCTCCCACGGCCCTAACCTCTCCTCTCTCCCCACTCCTCTCTCTCCACGGCCCTAACCTCTCCTCTCTCCCTCCCTCCCTCTCTCTCTCTCCTCCTCTCTCTCCCCCCCTCCCTAACCTTCCTCTCCCATCTCTCTAACCCTCCTCTCTCTCCCCTCCTCTCCCCCCTAACCTCTCCTCTCCCACCCTCCCTACCTCCCCCCTCCTCCCTCCCACGGCCTCCCTCTCTCCCCTCTCCTCCCTCCCACGGCCCTAATCCCTCTCCTCTCCTCCCCTCCCTCCCACTCCTAACCTCCTCTCTCCCCTCCCTCCCACGGCCCTAACCTCTCCTAACCTCTCCTCTCTCCCCTCCCTCCCACGGCCCTAACCTCTCCTCTCTCCCCTCCCTCCCACGGCCCTAACCTCTCCTCTTCCATCCCACTCTCCCCTCCCTCCCACGGCCCTAACCCCTCCTCTCTCCCCTCCCTGCCTCTCACAGCCCTAACCGCTCCTCTCTCCCCTGCCTCACTTCTTCCCCCCCTCTCTACTCCTTTTGCCACTCACTCTCCTCCCTCTTCCCAATCCCACTCTTCCATCTCTCTTGCAGTAGCTAGTGGAAGCTGTTGCTATGGAGACGGGTCCTTTGCTCCCTGTCCCTCTGGCATCCCCCTCTCAGAGCGAGAGAAGAGAGAGAGAGGAGTGAGGGAGGTAGGAGGAGAGAGAGACAGAGAGAGACCCGTTTCAGTAACAACCTCTAACCAGGCCTTAGCCACGTGTGGATATGAAATCATTGGATAGATCTAGGCAATATGGTGAGAACGCCACCTATCATACCAGAGGGGAAAGTTCGTATAGAAATACCATTAACCAGGCTACTGGCATCATGCTTGACATATTGACAAAACACAGACAAATCCTAAATCCTACACATCACCGACAAATAACTGTATATCAATACATCTACATGGTTGACTCTCACTCACCCACACAAACAGCAATAAATGTCAACACACACGCCATCCCACACACACACTGACAGGAAGCACCACAGGGAGGTTAATGTCTGGCTCAGCCTATAGGAATCCACCACCATGAATAATTAATCAACAAACCAAAACTGATGATTTGATTGGGCGATGTGGCTAACCGATACTGAATGGAATTGATCTATCCAGCCCCCCCCCCCACACACACACCACTAAATGGACAGATCAATGGTGCTCAACACATTATTGACCTTTTCCTTGTACCTTTTCAAATGGTAAGACACAAACAAACACTGGAAGATGGAGAGAGGGACAGAGAAATAAAAAGAGTGGAGGGGAGAGAAAATGGGAAAGAAAGGGGGAGAGAAGAGAGTGGTAATCCCCCCCCCCCCCCAAAAAAAAAGAGAGATGAGAGTGTGCAGGGGGCAGAATGAGAGAGAGAGAGAGAGAGTAAGGCAAATAGAGAGTTACAGAAGAACTATAGAATTAGCTTTCTATGACTTATATCCATGTCTGAGCCCACAGACACAGACAGACAGACAGAGATGCACGCTCCCCCTGCCAGAACACTAGACATGGATATACACACACCTTGTGTGTTCGAGTGCCCATCTGGTCCTCGAGACTGGCAAACTTGGCGCTTCACTCACAAACAGTTGCCAGCCAAGGCAGACAAGACAGAACATACACACAAAGCATGCACACACACACACACACACGGTTAACCAGCTCTCTCTGGCACTGAGGATGTGAAAGCCCCCATCGCTCTGGGCCGGATGCCAGGGCTGCAACACACACACATACACACCCACAAATCCCTGGCTTAGCCCCGGCCCAGTGCTGGGATTAGTGGATTAGGACCTCTATTCCATTATCTCCACACACTGACGATAGCAACACACACACACACACACACACTACCCTAGGCCAAAGGGAAGAGATGGGATGAAGACACACACTTGGGGCCTGTCACTCACGTAATCATGGAAGGCCTTGGCCTCGCTGGAGTGTTCGCAGTTCTCCCTTCTGTCCGGCGCAGCGCAATACAAATCCCAGAATACACTGCCATGGGAAATAGAGGAAGAGGGTTAATATTAGGGAGCACCTGATGAGCCAATAGATGCGGTAAAGAGGTCAATCGAACTCCACCAAAGCAATAGAATTGCCATGGAAACGCATTGAGGAAAGTGCCGTGGGGGAAAGATCCCGAATCTCCTCATTGCCCCCCAGCAAAATGACCCTACATTTTAGCTATGCTAACCAGCTTATACGAACGGGAGTTAGCATTTAGCAGTCACTTCTAAACCTGAAAAGGGACAACTTCTACATGTTATGCAGCGAAAACAGCCAAATATATCCAAATCGGACTAAGTAACCACATTGTGGGCCTGTTACAATACATAAATCATGACGGATTTGATGAATGTCCACTTTGTTAGATCAGATTTGTTGAATGTGTGCCAATCTGGTCAATGGAACGTCTGCGTTCCATTGACTCCTTTACCGCATCTATGGACAGTATATCAGTCATTCACGATCCTACCCTCACTTGCCATCTATCACACTCTGACATGCGCTCTCACACACTTATGTATCTGAATGGAAATGATATGGAGTGGTGATATTCTAATGGAACACACACACCTGAACACAAGAACATACGCACACACACACACATGGCCTAGATACTCACCACCACCATGAGTGCAGGAATCCAGGAGGCTCCCCTAATGTAATATTCTTTTCCCATCGTATCTGAAAGATAGACAGAGAGAGAGAGAGGAGAGAGAGAGAGAGAGAGAGAGGGAGAGAGAGAGAGAGAGGAGAGAGAGAGAGGGAGGAGATGAGAGCTGAGAGAGAGGAGAGAGAACGAGAGAGAGAGAGGAGGAGAGAGAGGAGAGAGAGGCGAGAGAGAGAGGAGAGAGAGAGAGAGGAGAGAGAGAGAGAGAGAGAGAGAGAGAGAGAGAGAGAGAGAGAGAGAGAGAGAGAGAGAGAGAGAGAGAGAGAGAGAGAGAGAGAGAGACAAAGCAACATGATGTGTAGTTCTAAACTCAGTAAGGGAGGAGACGGTCAGTGTGTGTGTGGAGGGCCGAGTGTCTGCGGGTTTTCACTCCTCCCTTGTACTTGATTGATTAATTAAGGTCACTGATTAGTCAAGAACTCCCCTCACCTAGCTGTCTAGGTCTTAATTGAAAGGAAAAACCAAAAAATGCGCAGACACTCGGCCCTCCATGGAATGAGTTTGACACCACTGGCCTAGAGGTTAAGAACACATAATCAGTCCGTCTCAGCCAGTCAACGCTGTTCCGCTTTCTCGACCGCGCCCTCTCTCTCCCCCTCTTCTTTCCCTACCTCTCAGTCAATGCCCTCTGAGACACAGTAAACACATCGTTCTACCTCTGTCAACTCCGTCCTTCCCCCTCGGTCTCCCTTCCTCTGCCACTGCCTCCATCTAGGCTCCCGCTCCCTGTCCAAATCTCCCTACCTCAGTCTCCCTCTGTCAGTCTCCACCTTTCTCCCACTGTCTCACTCTAGTCCCTTACTTCCTGGGAAGGAGCAAAGTTGGAGACCACTAGGCTAGAGGTAGGACGACGTCGTCGGACAGAAAGGTGTGTGCGTCTTACCTCTGACAAGAAGGTCTGTGCAGACTTCTGTGCTCCTACATGCAGCAGGTACTCATATACGTACAGCGCTAACCTGCAACAGAGGAGAACAGGACTTTGCATTAGCAAATCTATCGAAAAAGCCATAGGCGTTAGCATTAGCAAAGATCTGGTTGAGGATTACACAAACCTACTAGAACAACAAGGCTGACTGTGTGTGCAGGGCCGGCTCCAGGCATAAGCAGTCGCTTAGGGCCCTAGGCTGCTAGGTTGTTTTTGGGAACTCAGTCGGGGTCTCAACTTACTGTTGCGAGTTAGAATAGTAGAATACACAAGGTGCAAGTTCGAAATTTGGTTGTGCATCAGCAATTTTTCTCTTGTTATGTCAGTCACTGACAGTCACTCAATTACCCATGTCAGCTAACAATTTTTAGATTGGTAAATTAATCTAGCCAGCTATCTAAATTTGTAGTAATCATGGCCGAATACCGACCAGCTATGCAGGGCACGTGCCTATGGTCCCCGATTGATTTTGTTAGTCTTTCTCACTCAGATATCATTAAAACCCTTCCAGCCGGAGCATTCTAATTTCGTAATAATAGTTACGATGGTTTAAAGCCTTAATAACACTGCCGTCCAATCACCAAAATGTATTTCTGTAAACTGCCATTTACACATGACAACATGAGCTACAAATAGATATAATTGGTTTAGGGCTTTATGGGTGGGAACTTTTTTTTTTACTTCAACGAAAGGTCACGGAGCAAATCCTCCATTTGCCTCAGTGCCCTGGTAGATGACTGGAAGGAGAGTGGATCGAGTGCTATTTTGACAGCTTCAAAATGGAAACCACCAGGTGGATCAGTTGAGGTAAGAAAGTTGTTAAATTGGTTATGACAATGTTTTATCAATAATGTCACTTTAAATACTAAATTATTTTCTTACAAAGTCTGTATTTGCAGTGGTGAATGTTGGTTGTAATGCTGCTTGAAGAGGCAGCAGCTAGCGTTAGCTATTGCTATAGCTAGCTAGCCTCTCCTTCCATTTCTGAATTAATTTTTGGCTATTTCTTTCTAGCTGGCAAAATAAGTGAGCAAGATTTCATTTGTGTACTGTCGATAACATAGCTAAGTTGGTCGCTGGTATGGGCTAGTAAAATCGGCAGGTAGACTAGCGGTTAAGAGCGTTGGGCCAGTAAGCGAAAGGTCGCTGGTTCGAATCCCGGAGCTGACTAAGTGAAAAATATCTGTTGATCTGCCCTTGAGCAAGGCACTTAACCCTTACTGCTCCTGTAAGTCGGTCTGGATAAGAGTGTCTGCTAAATGACTGAAATGTCAACTAAACCAGATTGACCACTGTGCCCACACTGGTTTCACTTCACTTGCAGTGAAACAGAATGTGAGCTTGCCAGATCAGGCTGGTTTAGGGCGGTTATAGAAACACAGTATGCTTGATGCCAACTGATGCCTGTCCCCCTGCCCCCACAGGTTTAACACACTCCCCAGCTGCCCAGCATTACGCCCCTCCCCAGACCGCATCCACTCTTGCCTCTACCCTTCTTTCCCCCTCCGCACCTCCTTCTGGTCCTCCCCCACTGGCCTTGCCTCCTTGTCCTACCAGCCACCGGCTGCACTCCAGGTCCACCGCAGCTACTCTGAGATAACCGACTCGTGCATGTTCCTCACCCTTGTATATGTTTTCCTTTCCTTATCCCATACATCCTGCATGCCAGCCTGCCTACATGTTTGAGTCATGACTCTCATGGCCTTGGAGATGTAAAGGACTTGTAAAGACTGTAAAATAATGTTGGGCTTTTAAATTGTTCCCGGTCTGACTCCTCACGTGATAGGCTATTGTTCTAGTGTAATGGATGTATAGAAGAAATTACCGTTGTAAAAGCCAATTATTGTTATTATATGCCTTTCTTATTATATTATGTAATTCCAGATCGATTTTGATGACAATATCCCTGCGATGAATGTTGTATATAATGTTATGGCTATGATGGCGATAACTTGCACTTTCTTTTTTTACAAGTTTGAATGAGACAATGTATTCCCTAACGTTATTCTTTCAATAAAGTTATTGTGTTATTAATATTATGTTACTTGTTTATGTCTTTCCTTATCATATGTAAGACTAAATGCTTTTTGTAATTTGTTTTGGTGCAGATGTGTTTAATATACTATCCAGATAATAAAGTGTCTGATCAAGGAACATTCCATATACAATTATTATCATTTTTTAAATACCATTGGTCACTAAAACAACTAACTAGTTCACAGTCAAATGTATTTGTATTCTGATTTCAGATTTTCAATCCTTACAAAACAAAACACTCAATATGCTCTAAGTTTTTCTCTATCCTCATTAGAAAGTGTTGTAAATGGCAGTTATTTTTTGGGGAAAAGCATTGATTTTCATATATAAAAGATACATTTTCACAGGTGTTCTTTCTTGACTGATTATTGTCATTTGAAAGGGCAGTTTCTCAGCTTTCAAAATAGGTATCATGTTTTCATATATGTTTTTACACCAGCAAATTATACTCATTAATGCACGACAAGGTCATGATCCAGTAAGAAATGGAACATTCCGCTCAGGCTGAAAAGGGTTAACATGGCATAAGTCATGACAAAATATGTAGAACTGCAGGAAATTTGCTTCTAAGCTACAATATGTAACTTTTTGGGCAACCCGACAAAATTCCCATAGAAATGTGAGTTATAGATCTGTCATTCTCATTGAAATTAAGTCTAAGAAGCGGTAGATCTGTTGTATGTATGCTATTTCTATGCCTCCCATTTTTAAGTTTGGTTTTTGCGCCTTTTACTTTTACTTTTGGTTTTGTACACCAGCTTCAAACAGCTGAAAATGAAATATATTTGGTTATGGAAACAATATTTCACAGCAGTTTAGATGGCACAATGATTCTCTACACTATACTTGCTTGTTTTGTCACAAACGGAAATTAGGCTAACTATTAGAATTTTAAGAGCAATTTCTGCATAGTGCATCTTTAAAAAGGCAAACATTTCACCCCATGGCAAATGGGTAGAATTGCTGGAAAGTAACTAAAACCGTATTTTATTTTTTTTTCATGGCAAAATTAGTAGAACGGTATGAAATTTGTTATAAAATTGCATAAAATGTTCGCCCCATGGCAAAATATGTAGAACTGCAGGAAATGTACTATAAAAACAAAGTGTTATCCTGCATCAAGAGAGATTCCACTCATTTGAATTCAATTACTTTTTGACAGCATCCCCTTTGATTTAAACAAAAAACTTTCCATACATATTTGACCATGACCGAAATGGTCAGAAAGTGACTTCTTGGACCTGAATGCCAAAACATTCAGGAGATAAAGGTGCTCAAATTTGACCCATTTTACACACCATGAGACAGCCATGTCTTCATCACTGGAAAATATCATTTAAAAAGCCTTACAAAACAGGGTTGTCAAACTATTTTATAATTTGTTGAAAAACAATGTTTTAAATTTTAAAACAATTATTTTTACAAAAATGGTAAACTCCGCTTTTTTTATTTTATATTTCGCATATGTTGTAGCTTAGCCCTTTCATCATCTGAGGTGTTTGTGTTGTGCCTGCCAACAGTTGAGACGCAACAGCTCGTGAATACAATAGAAGTAGTTGATTCTGACCATATTATTCGAAAATTCTCGAATACACAGAAAATAAGTATTGAAATAAGTAATAATAAAATACACATGTATTTCAACCCAGGTCTGGTGTGTGTGTGTACAGTCGTAAGGGCTGTCTCACAGGACAGGGTCATAAATAGCTGAGGGGTGTTCCCATCCTGTGATCACACCGATAACAACTGGTAAGACAGGACACACACTGCCAGAGAAGAGTCCTAACCCTCTTAAGAGCAGGAGGTAATTGTGAGGTTGCAGCTCTTCAGACAGGCGAGCTTGTGATTTATGAGCCAGGATGTCAGAGGTAGTGGTTCTATCACGCACAACTCTCTGAGGCTTCCTGGTTGTGTAGTGGAGTTTACTGTCAGTCTTGGGTCAGTTAGGCCTCTCTCTCACACACACACACCTGACAAAATGTAGCAATGTGACCACTGCACAAGGCAGTCAGTGATTTGAAAATCACTTAGCTCTTTGAGACTGCTGGTTTAGGGTCTCTCGACACACACAAGTACCACCCACACACACACACACACACCTTAGTCAGTGATGTAGTGGTAAAAAAACAGGTGGGTAAACTGATCGGCGGTCACGGTGAATAAAGAAACGCTGCCTATACTTTCAATGCATTTTTCCCCAAAAGGTAGGGAAATGTAGCCATGACACCGGGGTTAACACCCCTACTCTTATGATACGTGCCATGGGATCTTTTAGTGACCACAGAGAGTCAGAACACCCTTTTAACATCCCATCCGAAAGATGGCACCCTACACAGGGCAATGTCCCCAATCACTGCCCTGGGGCATTGTGATCTTTTTTTAGACCAGAGGAAAGAGGGCCTCTGCTTAGCTTCAGAGGCAAGCCAGAAGTGGGATGCAGGGTGGGTAAACTGCGTTTACCCTCCACTACACCACTGACTTTAGTTAGTGTAGGTCTACTCTCACACACACGACACACTCACCATGTCTTCTCCTGACCGTTTACAGGATGCTATGGTTAACTGGATCAAACTGCTGATCGCCCCCACGAGGGCACTGATGAAATGTTTATGTGTGATGGGAGGCCTGTCTGTGTGTGTGTGTGGGGGGGCTATGTGCACCTGGTCTGCTGCATTATTTAAAATCACGCATTGAGAGGAGAAGAGTTTCTTGAGCTGCAACACTGGGGAAATGTTGTGATGGGAAGGTAGTGTCTCTGTGCACACGCACACTTCTTCAGTCAGCAAAGGGACAGCTCACTCCTCCCTCATTCTCTTTCACACAAACTTCCCCCCTGATGTACGCCACCAGTACACCTGACATCCTGCCTGCGGCTGCAGACAAAACCCCTCTTTAAACATGGATAAGCCAGCCCACCGACACACACACACTCTCTCCTTCTCACAGACAGAGAAACACACACATTGCGCCAGATCAGGGGCGACCGCACACACACACCGCTCCAACTCACAGCGAGAGCAACCGCTTCAGTCTGACACTCAATAATTCAACACAGAAGAGGGAGATGAGGACTTGGAAGAGAGGAAGGGAGAACTGAGCATGGGAGAGGGGGGGGGGGGAAGAAAGGAGAGGAGACAGAGGGGAGGTAAGGAGGCAGAATAATAGAGCGATGGAGAGGGGAGGAGAGGAAGATCAACAAAAGTTTGTCTTCTGAGCTGAGCGATGGTCTGCCCTGAGCTCGTGCTGAGGTTGATTCATAAAATCAGTTAGGCTAGATTGCAGAGATAATCAGTTAGGCTAGATTGCAGAGATAATCAGTTAGGCTAGATTGCAGAGATGAACATACTCATATCAAGCACAACACAGACATAGACAAAAGGAACAGACAAATGCTTTGACAATTTATTTGCACATCTAAGGGACAAGGCTTGGAACAGCTTTTATTGAAACATGGACTGAAGTGTGTGGGAAAAAGCATGGGCAAATAATGAGGTATCCGGCTTTGTTGACATTTGGCAAGACACGGGAAAAAGAGCCATCTACAGCTTGTAAGTAAAGTTCAAATAAATCAGTATGAATAGCCTAGTAGTTGTGTTGTTCACAGTGCATAATTATGGGTATCTGGTTCTGCAGGTTATAACATAAAAATTTGAAGTCTCAACACATGTTGCGAGACAAACATGATTAGGAACGAAACATAAATGCAAAAACACAGTAGCACAGGGTGGATAAGATAGTTACTGTCGTACTCGCTGCCAGTTCCTACATCAGCGGACCAGCATCCTTCACAGACAAAACGGCATCCGTAGCTAGCAGACAAAGGGATAGGTAAGCTACCGCTATCTGAGCTAGCACACTACCTAGTTTATAACTCAACTATTCGGCCAAATGCTCAGCATAGGGCCAATTTTAAATTACAGCAAACCTCGTTTTATAAAGTACACGTAATTTACTCTTTGATAAGGGCTAAACAAACGGTTTGGACACAAAGTTGTCATACTTGCCGCTAGCTAGCTCCTAGCCTACCTATCAGTAGCTCGCGTATGAAAGAACACACATTGATACAAGCGAGTGAGTTCGAAGAGTTACTTTTTGGAACGTTGGACACTCCTTTGTTACACAGAAACAAAACCTGTTACATTGGTTTCAACTTTGTAAAAGCTATCAGTCGGCTACGTTATTTCACCATAAGCTAATCACAGGATTCCTGAAACAACACACAAGCATCTTTACGAATGCATTGTTCCCAATACCCAGAGAGGTAGGGAGAGGGATTCTCTATTTTGCACTAAATTCTAAAATGCAACATATTGCACATAGTTTTAAAACAAACTACTTTGCCAATGTTGCTTAATATCTCCAACATCATACATGAAGTTAATAATCTACTGTACCGGATGAGAATGAAACTAGTAGGAATGGATAGCTTGGTAGTTAGCTAACGTTAGCTAGGCTAGCCATCAACTCCCAATAACTGCTTGCTTGTTAGGGAGGGCTACAAGACTTCACCGATGCAAGAAAACAACCTGGAAAAACAAAGAACCAAAACAACTACGAAGAGAGAGCATATCGTATCCTCATCTGCACACTTTATATGACAACAAGCTAGGTGGTGTATGTGAGCGTTGGAGATAACAGTAGATATCCTAGCTTTAGTGTCTCTAGCTAGTGTTTTTGTGACAGTGCACTATTCCCACTTACTTTTCTCTTGCTTGGTTATCTGAGGGCACAACAGCACCTTTCCCCTTGGCGTACATCCTTGAAGCTGGTTTCGATACTTTTTATTCAGTCCTGTTCCGACACCTGTCAAAGAAAGCGACCACTTACGATCTCCATAGCTACACAGCAGTAGTGTTCTCTCTCTCACTGTGCCCCGGTGTCTTTTTTTTCTAGCAGGCTACATCCATCCTCAACATTGCCGATCCGAACAGGGGCTGCTGCCGTCGGGGGGAGCTTGAAACCGTCTGTTGGTGATCTTTTTTTTTTTCAGTCGCTGTTCCAGGATTCTACTCACGCTCCCCCTGTTGTAGAATGGTGGGGGCTTCTTAAAGGGATAGAGACCACGTTTTGGTTTATTTGCCTAACTAAATTATGATAGACTGGACAGTGTTCTTCATTCCTGGGCTTGGAGACCCACATGGGTGTGTGCAGGGTTTTGATCTAGCACAGCACTAACATACCTCTTTTAACAGTGTCCCACTGTGCCCACATGTAACTGTGTGCTCTGTAAGGTGTGTTTCGGCCAGGAATGGTATATAAAAGCTCTGTGTGTCCTGTTTAGATATAGTTATATGGCTGTGTTTACACAGGCAGACAAATTCTGATCATCTTTCCACTAATTGGTCTTTTGGCCAATCACAGCAGATCTTTTCACATCAGATCTTTTTCAGATCTGTTTTTGTGAAAGGACCAATTTAGTGAAAAAAAAAGATCAGAATTGGGCTGCCTGTGTGTCGTGAGGGAATTATTCATAAAATGTGTACATGTATACCAGGTATGAAGTTGAGGGACGTGTGTGTGTGTCCTGTCCCTTTAAGAATGCGTGTGAGTGGCGGTGCAGTGCAGTGGCGGGGTGTGTGTGTGCAGGAGCGAAGTGTTCTGTTTAAATGTTGCTCATCTGTGGGAAGGACACACTGACTGCATGCATGTGTGTGTGCGCATGCATGTCATTCTTGGGGTTAGCCACCTCCACTGTTTTCTACAGGACACACATAAGCAAACACATTGTCCAAAAAAGGGGGAAAGCGAAGAGAGAGTGCAAAGAGCTAGGACACACAAACACAATCTAGCTAGGCAGAGCTGTCCGTGTGCTTGTGTTGCTCCATGGGGAAGAGAGAGAGGGAGAGTGTGTTTGTATCTACTCAGCTCTAGACCACAAACTCTATCACTGTCTCATCATAGCATCAGTATCGATTGGTCTGAGCCCAAATACATCTCAGAACACACACACTGTTGAGGGAGTGTGTGTGTGTATTTCTGATAGGGTAGGATGGTTCGTATGGTTTGTTAGGGTAATTATAAATCAACTCCACTCCTGGAATTCAGAGGTATTCACCCTAATGTACACACACGCACACACACATCTCACACACACTCCAAACAGGTTGTGTTCAATCGAGCCAGACCTGTATTTTCAATCACTCCAGAAGAGGACCTCTCAGAATATTACATTCACATGTTTCATCGCTAATTGAATGAGCCTGTTTGACTCACCAATTAGGCTGTTTGTTGGATTTCTGGATGAGTATTCACTGGATTCTTATAGAAGGCATCATCTCAAAGACTTGGGCCCCGTTTCAACGCTGTAGTAAGAAAGGAAGAAGTTATTGGAACAGGGCTCTGACATGAGCGTGTCAATACCACAACCTAGCTAGTAGTGTGTGGTGGTTTGAGTAGTAGCACATTTAATCAATGTGGTTAACTATTTTGCTTCTCACACTACACTTCCTGATACCTGATAGTTCTACTATCTCTCAGGATAGCAGTTACCTCTAAGTACAGATCTAGGATCAGGTTACCCGACCTCACATTCTAATCATAACCATTAACAGGACCAAACAAGTGTCTGACTCGGGACCAGCTAGGCTGCGTTCACACAGGCAGCCCAATTCGGATAATTTTTCCACTAATTGGTCTTTTGACCAATCAGATGAGCTCTTTTGGAAATAATTGTGCAGAAGATCAGAATTGGCCTGCCTGTGTAAACACAGCCTTAGAGTTAGGGGAAAGTCTACCTGCTCTTGTATCTCTCTAATCTCTGTTCTCTCTGAATACTTTCTATTTCTATAGACATGTAATCTCTCTAAAGATCATACTGCCTGGTTTCTTTACGCCCCTATTTTCACTCTGTCTGAGGGGAAAATCCCAGACAAACACTGCCTCTGTTTGACGCTGCCTCTCCTTGCTTTTTCACCCTCATTTTCTCTCCTCCTCTTCTTTCCTCTCCTCTTGTCTCCCATTCATTAATTCTTCCACCCATCTTCTCCATCCTCCCCACTCCTTGTGCAAACTGCAAACAGGTATATCAGTTGTAGGGGTTTTGCAACAATGTGTAGCTGGACTTTATTTACACCCTACCTGCTCATGCTAATCACTTGCTAATGATTACCTGCTAATTACCATGTAAGTACATGGGTTTTAACACCACAACATATAGGGGGACCATATTTCCAGAAACTATAATGGCAGGCTGCAGTTGTTTTAATCTGAACAAAAATATAAACGCAACATGCAACAATTTCAAAGATTTTGCTGAGTTACAGTTCATACAAGGAAATCAGTCAATTGAAATAAATTCAGTAGGCCCTAATCTATGGATTTCACATGACTGGGCAGGGGTGCAGCCATGGGTGGGCCTTGGAGGGCATAGGCCCACCCACTTGGGTACCAGGCCCACCCAATGGGAAGCCAGGCCCAGCCAATCAGAATGGGTTTTTCCCCACAAAAAGGGCTTTATTACAGACAGAAATACTCCTCAGCACCCCGTCCCCCTCCTCTCAGACGATCCCGCAGGTGAAGAAGCCGGATGTGGAGGTCCTGGGCTGGCGTGGTTACACGTGGTCTGCGGTTGTGAGGCCGGTTGGACGTACTGCCAAATTCTCTAAAACAACGTTGGAGGTGGCTTATGGTAGAGAAATGAACATTGAATTCTCTGACAACAGCTCTGGTGGACATTCCTGCAGTCATCATGACAATTGCACACTCCCTCAAAACTTGAGACATTCTGACATTGTGTTGTGTGACAAAACTGCACATTTTAGAGTGGCCTGTTATTGTCCCCAGCACAAGGTGCACGTGTAATGATCATGCTGTTTAATCAGCTTCTTGATATGCCACACCTGTCAGGTGGATGGATTATCTTGGCAAAGGAGAAATGCTCACTAACAGGGATGTAAACAAATTTGTGCACAAAATTGGAGAGAAATAAGCTTTTTGTGCATATGGAAAATTTCTGGGATCTTTTATTTCAGCTCATGAGACATGGGACCAACACTTTACATATTGCGTTTATATTTCTGTTCAGTGTAGATATGAATGGTATCAGCGTGGTTGTTATCAGCCAGTGGAAAACAAAGGGGATTCAGAGGGAGAGAAAGAGAGAGATGTGGGAATTTGAGTTAGTTGACTAGTATTCTGAGAGATTAAAGGAGAGAAAGAAAGAGAGAGAGATTGTGTGTGTCTGTATAAAGAGGTCAGACTGGGCTTATGAAACTGTCTATGACCTAACCTGCCCTATTTCAGACAGAACACAACCCTGTACAGTCATCATACCCACAGGCTTTGGGATCTGAATGTCAAATATCACCACTTCAACCTAAGTAAAGTTTTGATACTGTGTGTGAATAATGGCAAACATTTAAACAGTTGGAGCAGAGTCAAGTACATCTGACCTAAGAGCCCTGAAATAAAAACACATGTTCCATGGATGTTAAATAGGATCCAGATTGCATGTCCTCTTAAAGAAGGGTTTTAAGAGCTGCCCGCACTCACACATACGTACACATGCACACGTGCACACACACACGGAACACAGTTTTTTCATTAAAGGAACACAGACTGTGGTGTGTTCTGCTACAACACGCAGACAGTACACTGACGTTCTCAGCTTTTAACATTTTTATTTATTTAAATGTTCTGCTGAATTCAATCAAACTCTTACTGCAATGGTTATGTGGTAATGTCTTGATATTGCTTTATTCCCCAAATCAAAACAATTAATGGTTTTAGGTAAAATGACCAAATAACTACTTTCACAGGTATGTTTGTTGACTGCATAAATAATGCTCTCTATTCTATCCCCCCTCCGAATCTCTCTAAATGTTCTCTCTCTTTACCGCTTTCCCTCTCTCTGTCTCTTCCCTCCCCTCCCCCGCTCTCTCATTCTCCTTCTCCCTCCCCTCTCTCCCCTTCTCCCTCCCCTCTCTCCCCTTCTCCCTCCCCCTCTCTCTCCTTCTCCCTCACCCCTCTTTCTGCCTCCCCCTCCCCCTCTCTCTCCTTCTTCCTCAACCACTCTCTCCAGTAGAGAAGATTCTGCTTGGCATTATGCTTGTCTTACCTCTGCTGTTGGTGTCACGTGCAGTGTTATGTACGCACACACACACACACACACACACACACACACACCAAAAACAGGGGCTGTGCGTGTGTATATGGAGTGTGTTGTCTGGGGGTTTTGATACATGCGTTGTTGACAGTCTCGCCCCTCGGCCAGAACTACAGGGCCCCTCTACCCCTCTGTGAGCCTCTAAACCTCTCTTTTCTCTTTCTTTTCTCTCTGTGTCTTTCTTTCTCCTTCTTTACCGCTGTCCCTCTCTCTCTGGGTACTCCATACCTCCTGCTCTCTCTCTCTCTCTCCCTGTCCCTTCTCCCCTCTCCCTCCATTCACCACCTCCTATCTCTAACACACACGGTGGCAGGGCTGTACTCTACCTCCCCAAGGAGTAGTGTTTAACTCACTGACGAGGGGTTTAAGGCAGAGGATGTGTATGTGTGTGTGTGTGTGTGTGGGGGGGTGGGAAGAGTAAATTGTTTAGTGTTTCTGTGCTGACTCCACATATGATCCCCATTAGCTAACGGGGGTACACACACACACACTCAGGGTAAAGGATGATGTTAATCCAGTGTTAGCCATAATGGGTCCATTCTAGCTGTTCAGCAGTATCTACTGCAGACGTCACAAAGCACTTATACAGTTGAAGTCGGAAGTTTACATACCAAATACATTTAACCTCAGTTTTTCACAATTCCTGACATTTAATCCTAGTAAAAATTCATTGTCTTAGGTCAGTTAGGATCACCACTTTATTTTAAGAATGTGAAATGTCAGAATAATAGTATAGAGAATTATTTATTTCAGCTTTTGTTTCTTTCATCACATTCCCAGTGGGTCAGAAGTTTACATACACTCAATTAGTATTTGGTAGCATTGCCTTTAAATTGTTTAACTTGGGTCAAACATTTCGGGTAGCCTTCC